CTGCTACTGCTTTTGCTACTACTACTTCGACCACTACCACTACCACCACCGACCACCACCACGACCACGACCAAGACCATCACGACGACGACAAACTCAGGCTTTTTCGGATTCCGGGTAGTTCGCCAAGCGGCTGCTGGAAGAAGGGCATCCGCGTGAAAAACAGTGCGACAGAGCGAAGGCGTCCAGCCGCTTGGACCTCAAAGCGCGGAGAAGTGTGTGGTATGCTTGAGGCGTTGACTCAAGAAAACAAAGGAAAATGCTATGAACAACTCAAACCGGAGCTGGCTTCGGTGCTGATTGAACAGGGGATGTATTGCTGACTATTCAGACACCTATACCGAAAGAACGAGCCAAGGCACAGCAAGCTGTCTGCGCTGTGCGTCCATGGGTTCGCCTCTCGCGGCGGCCTCGTTCAACGACTATAAGGTAGGTTCCTCCGAGTCGAGGCATGCCGTCAACAACGGATAGAACCGAACATGTTGTTAGATTCTGAATAGCTTTCGGGTGGGCATTGGGGTTCTAGGGCCCATAGGAGTCAGCAGCCCACTTTCAAACTGCGGTCGCTGCTCTGCTTCTGGATCTGAGTTGACTGCACAACCACAAGAGCACAAGAAATCCCAAGCTAGCTCTCCACCCCCAAAGTTGGACCAGTAATCTGCCAAATCACATTCCCTAAGGGTCCATGTATCTAAATAGTAGAACATTGGCCCTAAGTACCGATATAGGGACCACATTAAGGCCAATGTTCTACTATTTGGGTACATGGACCCTTAGGGAATTACAGTTTCCATGGATTCCGACGCACCAGCTGAACGGCTAAAACCCTGGACCGTAAACCTCTCTACATACCTCATCCCTGAACCCTGTTTAACCCGCAAGCCTTGAACCCCTAAAGTTGCAAAGCCGAGACTGAATCAGTGAATCATAGGCTCCCCCGAGCCCCACCCAGCGCCTTGAGCTGTCTTGGTGAAGACTCTTCCAATGCTAAGTCCTCTGGTCGTTTCGGGCCCGGAGCTGGGAGGGTTTGGGAATTAGGATGACTTCTGATGGTGATTTTGTGTAGAGTTGTGCCGATTTCTCTGCGCGTGCCAGAAACCATAGGAGCCAGGAATATCGGAAATCCTACGTTGGGATTTCTCTCCAGTCATTGGGCTGAGGGCCGCATTAGCACTATTGTCTTCTCCTGCATCTTTTTAAACCGATTTGCTTGTCTCGTTCTGTCAGCTTACCCTGAACCCTTCACCCAAAGTACCAATACTTGCAGTCAATGGCCCGGAAGCCTCAAGCCCTCTAAACCCGAAAGTGCCCACTCCGCAACACAATCCCCAGCAGACACACGCAAGACCGTTCTCTCCATTGGCACCCAGGATCTCTGGGGTTTCGGCATGGGGACTTTAAAGGGGGCACTATATTACTAGTTTACTAATTAGTACGTCTTTAAACCTCTCATTACTGTCTGGGATACAGGTTGGTCGCTCGAGCATCCAGTGGTCGCTGCTGCCTCAAACTGAAACTAGAGGGTTTATGGAGGGTTAAGGGTTGCCTGAAACCTGTTTTGACGAGAAGGACCAATCCATGTCCAAGGCACCGTCAACGATGGCAAAGCCCTTTCAATCCTCATGCTTGCCCTGAAGTACTCGAAACCCAGATGAGGCTGCCCTCAAGCAGTACAGGACATGAAACGTCACGACAAAACAATGCAATGTTATACTAGACCGAACTTGCTACTATAATATCGCGCAGCCCAGCGTCGCGGATGCTATGCCGGCTGCAAACGGCATCGCTGCCGTCCCACTGCACTTCGACAACGCTGGGCGCCAGGACACCTTAGCCAAGGCCATCGGATGTTTGGTGCCAACAAGACCAGCAGAAGATGCACCACAGTTGACGAGCAGAGCTGACATCGCCATTCTTATCTGGACAAGGCGAAACAACCATCGGTGACTTGATACTCTGCGTTATGTTCATGATCATAATCACGTTCTTGACAACCTGACAACCCGCTGGTGCGTGAATCCACATCCTCACCATCTTGAAGAACCGAAGGATCATCGTTATCGCTACGGAAACATAGCCATCGCAGCCATCGCCATCGCCATCATTGCCAGGAGCTCCTTCACGATTTTGTGACAACATCATCATCACACCTTAATCTTTTCGCTTTTTCATCAATCACATCATCTTCACCGCTACTGCTCCATGAACGTCACAGTACCAGCACAACCGTCACCACCGACATCCTAACAGCCGTGATATGTGTTGTTCGCCTCATCGACGACATTACAAGTACGAACCACGACACGAGCATTAGCATCGTGATGATGGCGGCAGTCATCATGCCAACTTCATGTGCAAGCAACCTGGTGTGATATGTGAACACTCCGCTGCGCCAGCATCCTCTGAAAAGCCAGCTACATTCAGCTGAACATCTGTCGATCAAACTAGAATAGGGAATTCAATCAGACGAACTGTGCGAGGTGGTCTGCATTTGGCTCTAACTTTGTATGGCGGATGGGGTTGAAGGGTTCTGGAACTCATCTTAAGAATCCTGAGAGACAACAACAGGAGAACCCTTGCAAACACAACAAACAACATGCTTCTTCCATGAGTTATTGTGAGACTTGATCCCCGGTGCCTTAATTACATGAGGCTTGTCCACCCAGAAAATGCCTGTCATGACAGGCCAAAAAACTTCATGTCAGCACGAATAGACTTCATTACTTCATCCCAAAGCCCGTGTGCAAAGCTTTAAGGTCGGGGGCCTCAATTAGAATAGGGTTTGGGGGAATTTTACTATAATTTTAATAAGGAGCCCTGAAAGTTTGTAGTATTTATAAGGCCCCAGTATTACGTGCTTTGACTTCTTGACCGGGGATTCCGGTCTCCAGCTGCAGCAGGGTACCGTAGAGGCTTTAATAATTCGAACAGGGTTTGCCAGGACCCGCCAACGGCCCTTTAATAGAGCCCCTTATCCCTTATGGTCCTTAATGGTGGGTATTTAGGGCATATAGAGGGTAGTTGGGGGGTCTAGGTGGGGGGTATACTATACAATAATTCTGACAAGGAACCCCCAAAACCCTATTCTAAGTAATAAGCCCCCTACATTACTTCCGCAGACCGTAGCAAAGCCGGGGTTCCGGCTTTCGGGTTTATTCATGACCTGTGTACTGTAGGGGCCTTAAGAATTAGAATGGGGCTTGTGGCTCCTGTATCGTACTATGATAATAAGGAACCCTAACAGTAATATTAGTAATTATTTAGGCTTCTATGTTAGCTTTGCACATACTGTGGTCCACAGCAAGCCTGGTTCTACAGACTACGGCACTATCCAGGTTTACTGCGGCTATCAGCCGAGCGAAGTCAGTTCATGTCAGTTTGCCAACCCACAGCTCGTTTATGGTGAATTAGGGTTTACCCAAAGGCCCCATAGTAGTTCCTTTTCTGGGTTACGTTATGGAATTCTATTTATGAACCCCAGACAGGAACTCCTTTAGGGCCTATGGGTAGCTTATGGTTTGTAAGTCCTTAGCCCCAAACCTCAAGGCAAGGCTGCCACCTCACTGGGCGGCCCCGCGTAGCACGTGGCCTGTGTGCCCCGCAGGCAGAGTTCGACCTAGACCCAGGAAGCCAATGAGTCGGGAGGTCCTGAAGAATATATATAGGTCTGGGCTTCATGGGTTTATATAATCTTGGGCTGTTAGTATCTATAACTCCTCTAGGTTTTGGTGCATTTAAGCCTTCAGGGCTTACAGGTTGACGGTTTTGTTAGCACTCTCACAGTGGAGTAATCAGAGCCCTCTTGTATGAGCAAGGAAGAAAGAGTGAAGCCCGGGAGTATCCTTGAAGAGAGTCGCAAGAGGAAGAAAGAGTAGTCGAGCATCAAGGTTACAAACTTTTGCGAACGAAGCTCTGCAGGGGCTGCGCGGGGCTCCTGAGGTGCTACGCGTTAAACTGCTACAGGGAGCCGAGGTAGCCGTAATCAGTATCGATAGCAGCTACCATCATCAACGGCACACTGGAATCTTCGCGGTTCATAAGCCAAATAGGGCTTCGTAGTATAATTCTTAAGGGTTATAGGGCCCCTACTTTGAAGGGTCATTTCGGGCTTAAGGTAAGCACGGAGATTCGAGAGCCGGGTTCGCAAGGCTTGGAGAATGCGGGCCTTTTAGGGTTCCTTGAAGGGTTCCTTTATGACTGTCATTTCAACTTCTGGAGAGTCTCTGCTCTGGCGGAGCATCTTCAGAACCCTGTGAGTATCGAACCTACCTGTGTTCCGATGACGAAAAGCTGTAACCCAAAAGATCTTGTTGAACACGGCCGCAACGAGCCCTCCCAGCCACTTCAGGCCACATTCAAAAACAGCGCCCTTGATTCCTTGCTACCCACATCCATAAACTTTGAACCCTGAAAACCCTCAAAACACGGTGTCCTCCGCCGAATATCACTTCGCGCGGCGACCTGTGCAAGCCACGGGAAAGCGCGGGGCACAGGCAGCCGGGGTGCAGAGCAGAATAGAGCTTGCGATTCGCCAGCGATGTTAGATATTAGAATTTGTGATTGACAGTATGCGTTGAAGAGCAGCCTGATTTCCTAATTACCTGTTCAGGACGTTGTGGCATCACCGGCATCACAAGCCCTGCCTGGCATTGTCATCTAAACAACACAATGACAAGCCGCAACCCCAAACATCCTCGCCAAGATTGACAACCCTACAGCGCAACATCAACTGTCATGCGGCGAGCTTGTGCCAACTGAGCACAAGAGCAAAGCCGACTCAATTCAACTCCTGCCAAGCTTCCTGGAAATGTACATAGCAGCAGCCATGGGAGTGGTAGCGGGAAATGGGCATGAAACAGAGACACCACGAGCCCCCACAGGGCCTTCAAGAACAGTCAAAAATAAGACTCCAATCTACCCTCTTTTTATAGGATCCTTAAGGGAGGCCCCTTAGAACCCCCTCCCGTAAGGATTCCATAATCTTTCAAGTCAGACCGGAGATCATGAAACATCTCAAACCCAAACCCCATTCCTCGTGCCTTGATGCCCTCCTTAAAGGAGGACGATGCTGGCGCCTCCGTGTCCTCCCAGAGCCTAAGAGACAGGGCATACGAGGTTTGGAGTCGGGTGTGCTGAAAAGGAGCCCTAGCCCTAGCCCTGTACTGGCTATTATTGGGGGTTCTCTGTATGACCCTACAATGGAGACCCCTAAACCCTAAAGCGTCTCCTTGCAACCCAGGCCACACCCTCGCCTCGATAAAGAGTGATTCTGCCATCTCCGGACGTAGCTCTGCCAGAGCCTGCCAGGTGGGGACCTTGATTCCTGAACCCGCAGCAGGCCTAAACCAGAAGTCCTCGTGACATCTTGAACTCTGAACATGCACCCGAACATAAGGCCTTGAACGGGATTGATGGTTCAATTTCTGCTACACTAATAAATAAGTTCTTTAACCCTACACTGAGGCCCTACACCCGGCCTCAGTTTGCATGCACGGGCTTGTGGTGCTAGGCAAACCGACCCAGACGGCCACAGATGTTCGTCTAGGGAGTTTAGGGCTTAGGGTTTTAAGGGCCTGAGTTAACAATTATTTTAGAATAGCGTTTTGGGGGTATGTTGTATATTTAATTGCAAGGACCCGTACGCAATAGCACGATTCAGGCTTCTATGTTAAGCTTGCAGGTTGCAGGCCTTCTTGGCCTCGAGAGCCCATCCTTGGATTGCGGTCGCTTCTACAAAAAAACAAAGCCAGGGTGCGGCTGATGGACAAGATCCCTGCATCAAGTATCCATGCTTACGGAAGCCCCCAGACCCTACAAACTCGGAATCCTGATCCTAGTCCCGAAGGGTGTGAAAGGAAAATAAGGACCCTAAGACCCATCGGCAGCTGGTTCCCACAAGGCCCATTTGGGACAGGTAGGTGCCCTCCTCACAGAAATTTAGACATCGAGGGAATGGAGGGAGTCAGGCCATCATGCTACTATTGCCGGACATGATGAGCACAGACATCTCAATCTTGAAGGGCCCACGTAAGAAACCTCCGAGGAGACGTCTGCTCATCCTACCAAACAGCAAGACTGTGGCTCCGCTCTTCGAAGGACCAGGCTGTTTGTTGAGGCTAGTCTCTGTAAGCTTCAGCCGCACCACGCACGGCAGGTCGGTTGTGATCCTGAGTTCAAGGGAAAAAGATCTGCGGAGTCCTGGGCAGGCTTAGAGGCCCCGGAGTCAGGGATCTGAAGTAGGGCCCCTCGAAATCCCCTCTCCCCCTACTAGCAGCAAACTCCTATCCAGTTTATTCAAGCCAAGGAAACAACGCAGCGGCCTCAACCACAAAGCAGAGAACCCTCATTGAAGATCCACCATTACTTACAAATCTACAAGAGATGCAGCAGGATATGCTATGATCTGACGGAGGCCTCGTAGTACCAAAGTAGCTGAAATCGAGGCGCCGTGACTGCGAGGCCCTCAGACAGTCGAAAGCCCTCCGTGCAGCCGAACTCCAGGGACTCCTGTGCGGAAAAGGGGACAAGGCCGCAGAAGCCTGGATTTTACAAGGCACTACCTACCGAAGCCTTAACACGCAAACATACCTACTATCATACCTGACATTATACTATATGTGCTTCAAAACAAGAACTTAATAAATGGAATAGGGTTTTGGGGCCCGTTATTATACTTAAATCATAATAAGGAACTTCCAAAATAGTATGGATAATTATTAAGGCCCCTACATTACTTTCACCTTCATGCACAAAAGAAGTACAGACGAACTGCTCGCGGGGTTCCGGGGGCATGTTTCGCGACTCGTCCAAAATGGGTTTAGGATTTACGGTTTAGGGATTTAGAGTTCAGGGTTTCGCGTTCAGGGTTCAGGGTTTAGGGTTCAGGGTTTTAGGGTTCAGGGTTTAGGGATTTAGGGTTTGGAGTTTACAGAGATGAAGACTTAAGATACTGAGCTGTGAGAGCTATAGGGCTTTGGCTGGAAGCCTCAATCTACATCAAGGCGACAAGTCTAAGTGGGTATGGATTGCTCAACGCTGAGCAATACTGCCCAACAAACGAACCACAGATGCAACGAGATTAATCTGTGGTTTCTGGTGCTTCTAGAAATTCTTCTCCACAACGAGAGAGAGAACACATACACAAACACACAGAGTGGCTGACACGTTTGCTCTTCCCGAGCTGCAATACGGTCCTACATGACCCGAATCTCCAAACCACTACACACCTACGCTAGAAGCGCAGATGAAGAACTTCCTAAACCTGGCCGGGGCTTCCTGGACGATCTGGAGCAAGGCAACCGCCGGAAGCCCCACGACTACACCAGGCATCATCTCTTCCTCGGCTAAGCTTCGCAATGATGCAAATTTGGTTCTCAGCATGGCAACGATAAAAAGACCTGTCGTTGTTCACCTATCGTTGTTTTGTTGTTGCTGTTGGTGGTGGTGGTGGTGGTGGTGGTGGTGGTGGTGGTGGCGGCGGCGTCGTCGCAGCAGGAATAGTGGCACCGACTACTTTCACTACAACCACCTTCAAACATGCAGCAGCCCTCCAGGAATGGGCCGTGTAGCCATCCACCACACCTAGCGCATGACTGCCTGCAACTATGTCCGAAAGCTGACATATAGGCTCAAACACCGAGCTTGTTGCTACGAGTCAGATTACTGCTTTCCGATATCACATCTGTGGTAGCTTCGCACAAGCCTGCGGTAAAGTCACCCCTGTATAGTTGTGATTCCGATCATAAGCCGCAGTTAAACAGAAAAAGCGAAGCATAAGAACCTCGGAGATCCTGGAGAAGGTGTGGCATCCCTTCTTGCCGAATCCTTGCCAGACCATGTACTCGTCAACTCCGTGAAGGTTTAGGAAAAGCAAGGTCCCTGCCACACAAACCTGGTCTATTCTCGAAGTCCTCGTACCCCACACAACCCACTTGAATGCTGAAAACATCTCCTTAGGCGTTTCTGGAATTCGCTCTGCAACCTGAGCCCCCAAACTCCTCGGCCTTTAATTCCCTAACCCTAAGCCCTTAACCCAAATCCCTAAACCGTACACCTTGAATTGACTAACCCTGAACCCCTAAAACCCAAGACGCCTAAACCCTGAGCCCTGAATTCCCTAACCCCGAACCCCTAAACCCCAAACCCCTAATGTAGGGGCCTTAATTTTTAAGCCAAGTCACTCTCAGCCCCACGGGGCTTT